GGCAAGTAGTTACCTTATCATATTGTGTGAGGTTTGGTTGTGAGGATCTGGCACAGCAGAGAAGTCTGACATATGACATAATATTCCGTGCATTTCTGAAGATGGCAGGCAGGTGATGGCACGAGCTTTGATGCTGGTGGCAGTGTAATGGCCACAAGCTCATTGAGGTAGCAGCCCTAAGCTCACAATTTAAATTCCTCATGTTAACAAAAATGGAGAGCTGTGCAGTTGTACCCAATATCAGCACTTTTTCTGCTGGAGTTCCTTGAGCGTGGAGGTGAATAAAACCATCCTGCTTGCCTTTCCACCTCCAACTTGTTTTGCCTAAAACGCCTCACTGAAATTTCTTAGCAGAGTAGGGCCGTACAGCTGCTGGAGGATCCTCTTAGGTCTTGTTGGTAAGAGGTGGATTTGCCTGAGCTGCTGCTTTCTTTTTCTTCAAAGATCTCGGTAAGCTGTGTGAGTTCCCAAGGCACCCATCCCACTGCCAGTCCAGGGCAGCACACATGGCTCAGAATAATGGAGGCCTTATTAAGGATGTCAGGGCTCACAATTCCTCTCCTCTTGTTCTTGTGATGATTCTATAAGGCGCCGGTAGGGCTTATTAACAGAGCTGATCAATGAGACTCGTGTGGGAGGGTCGCTAAGATCAATTCCGCGATTAATCCAAGAGCCCTTCCGATATTGACTTTTTTTTTAAATAGCAAAAACTGGAAGAAAAAAAACCAAAACAACAAAACAAAAGAGTATTTACCACTCTGGGTGTGTGTCACTGAGCCATTCCTGAAGGGCAGAGTCTGGATGCAGCTGTGCCAGGGGTTCCAGGTGGTGCAGACCTCAGAGACCCCCGACCGAGGAAGCAGAGATGGGGTTGCTCTGTGTGTAGTGCAGAATTCTGGCCCATGCTCAGTGCATTGCTGTTGCTTGAATCTCAAAAAGATTGCTCCCTCCTCTTTCCATTTTAGTTTCCTGGTTGTATCTTTTGTCTTTCCAAATGTGGTTCCTCCAGCATTGCAAAGTATGGCTGCTTTTACTTGACTTTGAAATATTTTATGCCTGAATCTCTTTCCACCAGCCTTGCACTTTGTAGCAATAACTGCAGCAGATCAGTGTCATATTACTGAAGTTTAGCTGGAATGCTTTGTTTTCACTTCAGGAAATGAAAAGATATGAATATGAATGAAATGAATAGATGGAGTTACTCATTTTCTGTGTCAATCAGTGGGAAGAACTCTATCAAGTCTAGCACAGAGAAGAAGAGAGTGACTTCAAGGTGTGAATACTTAAAACCATTTTGCTAACGTGAAACCAAAATCTGATAATTTTAGGGGAATCATAGAATCACCAAGGTTGGAAAAGACCTCCAAGATCGTCCAGTCCAACCATCCACCTACCACCAGTATTTCCCACTAAGCCATATCCCTCACACACAGAATCACACAGAATCACACAGAATCACAGAATCACAGAATCACAGAATCACCCGGGTTGGAAGGGACCTCAAGGATCATGTAGTTCCAACCCCCCTGCCTAGCAGGGCCACCAAACATACACATTTAGATCAGGTTGCCCAGGACCCCGTCCAACCTGGCCTTAAACACGTCCAAGGACGGGGCATCCACAACCTCCCTGGGCAGCCCGTTCCAGGGCCTAACCACTCTCCTTGTAAAGAACTTCCCCCTAACATCCAACCTAAATCTTCCCTCCTTCAACTTGGATCCATTTCCCCTAGTCCTGCTGTTGTCAGCCCTTTTGAAGAGTTTACTCCCCTCCTGGGTGTAGATTCCCTTCAGGTATTGATAGGCTGCAATGAGGTCACCCCGCAGCCTTCTCTTCTCCAGGCTCAACAAGCCCAACTCCCTCAGCCTGTCCTCATAGGGGAGGTGCTCCAGCCCCCTGATCATCTTAGTCGCCCTCCTCTGGACCCTTTCCAAAATCTCTATGTCTTTCTTGTACTGAGGGCTCCACACCTGGACACAGTACTCCAGATGGGGCCTCACAAGAGCCAAGTAGAGAGGGACAATCACCTCCCTGTCCCTGCTGACCACCCCTCTCCTGATGGAGCCCAGAATCCCATTTGCCTTTCGAGCTGCCAGAGCGCACTGCTGGCTCATGTTCAGTCTCTCGTCCATCAGGACCCCCAGGTCCTTCTCTGCCGAGCTGCTCTCAAGGACCACTCCTCCCAGCCTGTACAGGTGCCTGGGGTTCCTCCGGCCCAAATGCAAAACCTTGCACTTTGCCATGTTGAACCTCATCAGGTTCACCCGAGCCCAGCCCTCCAGCCTGTCGAGGTCCCTCTGAATGGCATCCCTTCCTTCCACCGTATCAACCGCACCACTCAGCTTGGTGTCGTCAGCAAACTTGCTGAGGGTGCACTCAATTCCCTCATCGATGTCAATACAACACCTAAACGTTTCTTGGACACCTGCAGGGCTGGTCCCTGCGCAGCCTGTTCCAATGCCTGACCATCTCTTGGAGAAGAAGTATTTCCTAATGTCCGACCTGCATCAGAACCAACATCCCGTTGTGTTCCAGAGTGCAGTGTGAGGTGGGTTTCTTGTACAAGTGAATCTATTCATTCACAACAATACAAACCCACATCAGTTTGCTTTTCAGCACACCCGTGGGGTTGCTCGTGCTCTCAGGGCTGCTGCTTCCCACTGCTTCTTTCTGAAACATTATTCTTTGTTCCTACTGAACTCAGGGCCACTATCCAGGAAAATTTGTTCCATTTTCCAGCTGTCTGAAATAGGGCCTTTCTGCTGCAGATTTTCTTGCCATATCAGAGATTCCCTCTCCCTTCAGGCTTTTTATTGCTAAAGCAGGCTAGAAATGCTCCTGCTGCATCCTGCTGCATACAGGTGTGTGGATCAGTGTTGGTGCAGGTATCTTATGCTGTGCACTGGTGAAAGTGCTGCAGATGTGTTGTGGGTTATAACATGCACTCAGTTTCATGGTGCATTCCCACAAAGAACAACAGGACTGACAGCCAGAGACGCACTAATGAAATCACATGGAGCACTTGCCAAGCAGAGGGCGATTTTGTTCCTAGGCACTAAAGGACGATGACAAACAACATGCCAGCTGCTACATTAATAGGTTTTATTTTGCCACAAATCTTACAGCACACTCTGCAGCTTGCCATGCCTTTGCCACACTAAACCACCCTGCAGGACGTTGCTCACATCATGTTCACATATGCTGTCCTTTCTGATAAATCTGCCAGGCAATGGAGCAGGATAGGGATGTCAGGGCTGAACTGACCAGGAGGCACAGACTGCTTCAGTCAGGAGGAATGGCACCATGACTGCTGTTATATCTGGCTGCTGGCTGTCGGAATCTGCACTGTGTGTAATTTGGTGTAGCTCACATCTGCATGCAGGTTACTATTTTCTTGTGCTTGTAACTGTGATTACAGTGCTCAGACTTTGCAACTCGTTTGAGTACCTGGGTAGAATGTCACCTGTTGAGGTTGCTCAGAGCTCCCACTATAAATCCCGATTTCTAATACAGTCGTGTGTCTCTGCAGCAGTCCCTGTGCAGACTTGTTGCTGGCTCACACCTGCTGGCACTTCACAAAGATGCAGGTGAGCGTCTTGATTAAGCAGGTGAGCTGGAAGATGCTTTCCCCATCATTTCTTGCAGGCTGTCTCATTGTCATCTTCTGTCTGACATACCTGATTGTTTTTGCTGGGCTGCAGTTGTGCAGAAATGGCCGTGGCAATAATTCTTCCACTCTCCTTAAACCTTCCAGATGCCATTGATGGACTTTTCACTGCTGGGCAGAAGGCATTTGAATGATTGTTGTGAAGTACCTTCTGTAGAGACTGCCTGCAGGTTTGGAAGGCAGCTGGATAGCATCATGCATTCGTAATCTGATGACCTTTTCCCCTCGGGGCCATTTCCTCACATCTCAAACAGCTTGGCAACACTCAGAAAGTATCTGACGGTTCAGTACTGTTGTGTAATGGAAGTTTTTCTCGTTACATTTCACACATTGACTGATTTTATCTCAAGAGTAATCACAACAGCTAGAAATGATGGGAAGCCTCAGAAGAGAGTTGGATTAATACCTGAAGGCAGTTTCCTCTGGAAGTGAACTTTCCTTTGAGGCATGGAGCAGCGCTGCTGCTGTGGCTGCTGCACTGGGGCTGCAGGAAAGTCCCTCTGTGCAGACAAGGCTTGTTCTGGGAACGTGGAAAGAACACAGAGCTTTCTCTGTGCCATCCTTCTTATCCTCAAGGATGGTGGGAAATCCTTTATCATGTATAGTAATTGTCTTGATATCCAATAAAGAGAGTAATGGCAAATGCTTCCTTGCCAAACAGTGAGTATTGCAGGCAGACAGCTGGGTTACTTTCCACCTTTGCATGAGCCCAAGAAGCACGGCGTACATTCGGAGATACCCGAGCACACAGGGCTGGCACTTGCTTTTCAGAAGTGCCCTCCTGACAGGCACTTGAATGCTCAGACACCATGTGAAATGTACACAGGGCATCAGTGGGACGAGCTGCACAACTCACACCTCCAACACATCTCTTTTCACTTGCAGTATTTGTAACTGGCAGCGGTTTCCTATTGTGCACTTTTGCTTTAGGAATGACTTTTAAAATACCAAGTGTTTGTTCCATAGGGACCTTTTCCTCTGCTTCTGCTTGCCCTCTGAGTACACGAAGGAGGCTGATGTCAGTAGCAGCTTCTATGGCCCTGCATGCACAGCAGCACAAGCTATTCTACTTTTACTCCTTCAGACAGTATAACTTTCAGAGCTCTTCATTTTATCTTATATGGCTAACTTAATGAATTCATTAGGGGCATTGTAGTGGCAATGCTCAGTCACAGCCTGAAACAGTGATGGAGCACCTGGTGGGAAGGCAGGACCAACCCAGGGGAGCTCAGGTGCAAGTAGTGCTGAGCGATGAAGGGGTGGAGGCAGGATGCACCCCTTCCCAACCCTCATTTAAGGGTTGGCAGTGGAGGTGAGGGCATTTCTTGCTGGAGGTTTCTGCTTATTTGAGGCCTTCCAAAGGTAAGCAGCTTTTTTTCCTTTATTTCTGTATTTGTGGCTGCTGCATTTGGGCTTGTTTTCACTTGCTGTAGCCAAGAACTTTGCCATGCTGCTATTATCATCCTATTACAGTCTTACAGGCATTAATAATAGTTAAGGAGATTTAAATCCATGGTGATGTTGGGCAGGCTGCAGGGGTGTGCAGATGTCATCTCCCCTGTATTCCTGGAGGAGTTTTGGATGCTCAGTAGCAGCGATGCCAGTGTTGAGGAACGCACCCAGAGCACCCCTGTCTGGAGTTAATGTAGTTCCCCACATCTTGCAAGACACAGAGCTGGGAGAAAACCAGAGTGCCTGAGCACTCATCTGCTGCCCTGCTCTTGGCTGCTGCTAGATACAGCTCATGACTTTAAAACCAGTTGTTTGCGAAGAAGTCCTGTGCCATGCCCTGCAGGGTGAGCAGGGCCTCGTGCTGCAGTTGCTGGCTAATGCATGACCTCACTGCTGTGAGGTGGTTGTGTTCACTCTCTCAGGTCAGGGTGTCTCAAAGCAGCACATGTTCCACGGTGCCCAGAGGCAGCTGCTGTTTTACTTCACGACAATGTCAATTATCACCCACAGCACTCCTGTGAGGAGTAAAATGGCATTGACAAAAGATGCAATTACTTGGCTGTTTGCTTCCTTAGTCCTCTGCTCCTATCAGCATCTGGCTGTTTCTCTGGTGATGCCTTTAAACCACGTGTGTGACAGCTGCACTGCATTGAAAGACACAGCTTTCCCCACTTGGATGTGCAGGAGGAGATGTGCTGTTGCAGAGATGTTCTGGCCCTCGTAGCTCTGCTGAAGAAGCTAAATAGAGGGTTGTGTTCTTTCCAGTGGAGGTTGGAGGTGCAATGTTGATCTCAGCCCCCATCTCTCAGATAGCTGGAGTGTCAAGCACTGGGTAGAATTGCTGTAAGTGTGCTGGCTCTTGCTGTGCTCCTGATGACACCTCTGCTTCATGTCCAAGTGCTCAGGCATTTGGAGCTGGCAGTGCCAGCCCAGCTCTCAGAGGTGTCCCCTAGCAGCTGCTGCCTGGGGCTGCTTGCAGGAGCTGAGGGCGCAGCCCGGCCTGTGCTGGCAGAGGCTGATGGTCTGCCCAGAGCAAATTGTTCTGCACCGCTGCTGTCACCTGATGTGTCCTTAGAATGACATCTGATTTGGGGAGACAAAACTAACAACAAACAACAGCAACAAAAAACTTTTGTGATTAGCTTTTTTCTTAGAATGTGTGCTAATGATGATTTTGGGTGCATCCCATCTTGTCTCTGGGAAGCGCTGGAGTAACTTCTGTGTCTATGCATTGGAAATAACGATGTTGCATAATCAAAGCTATTCTGTGAATCTCTCAACTTCTTTAAATTGTCAGCTTAAGGAAAAGTGGAAGAATCTGGTAGCTGAAACTCCTTGTTTTGATTGCTTTGTAACAGCAGACTTGGGGAATTCATTCCAGGACAAGTTTATAGCCTACATTCATGTTCTTACACTGTCAAAATGAGTGGAAATACCACCCCTCCCAGCCCCTCAAGTTTATAAATATCCTGGGAGAGGTTTTTATCCTTTGGAACTGTGGCAGTCTGCATGCTTTAACCTTGCAGACTGCTGTTCAACCACAGGTTGTGTGCTGCTGTCCCAGCAGCTGGGGCTGGGTCCATGCAGTCAGTCTGCACGTGGGCTGGAGGTTGTTGGGTGCTAGGCAGTCATTTGCAAAGCCCTCACACCTTTGCATCGTCCCTGTCTGATGTTTATAGCACTGTTTTACTGAGCCAGAAGGCTTTCCTGTTACGTATGCCCTGTGTCATTCCTTCCATTGTTGCATGCTCCATTTGGCATTTCCTCATTTATGTATGGCACAGGGAAGGGATTGTGTACTGCGTGGTGATACTGCTTACATCTCCTCCTTTGTTCTAGGCATGTAACTACATATGGATTTGGGCCTTCACAAACCATTTGGTTACTGTAGGTTGCTTTAGGTTACGCTTGCTCCTGCCTTAGCCTACCTGCATGGTTTAGTTTAGATTTTGGCAAGACCTTTGTCTGGTCAGCTGGCTTTTGTGTTTGAGACCATCCTGTCTCTTGTCTTGAGTTACTGTGAGCCCTCCCTTCTTCCTGACTGCACTTACAGTAGCAGGGGTACATTTATCAAATGTTTGTGTATTCACACAATTAAACCACAGATTTTGGTTCGTTACTTTCATCTCTTGGCTTCCCTTACCAGAATGCAGGCGTGTAGACACAAATACATGGTAGTGGAGGGCTTGTTGCACAGGGCACTTTTGATCTAAGCATAGCAGGGTAAGCCATCTGTGGAATGGCCTTTGTCAGCCAAATTGTGCTACCAGTTGGCATAGTGAATATGTATGCAGTACTCTGCAGGACCAAACTCATACATTCAGATTGCCTTATGTGAGCTTATATATGCAATTCAGCTCCACAAAAAGAAAAAAATTGCATGCATTCCTTATGCACAAAAAAAAAAAAAAAGTTGCTTGTTCATAGTGGCACTTACAGCTTGCAGGGAAAGCTGATATCCTCCTCAATTATGAGACCTGAAAACCTAATTAAAATGTGTTTATAGTATCAAGTGATGCATTTCTGCCCCTATTGCTCTCTTTTAACACAGGTAATTGGCTGCAGAAGCAATCACAGTTCTTGTAATACAAAACAGCAAAATGCTGCGTAAGCCTTGGTGAGAGGAATGTGAGACAGCACTCTGTAGCAAACCCCATTATGGATCTTGGGATGGTTTTGGATGCTGTGCCAAGGCAGAACCCACCTTCAACAAACGTGGCGTAAGAAGCAGACAGCAGTTTTTCTTGAAGCCAAAGGCGATGATGGCTGTGAACACGCCATAGGCCATGTCAGCACATATGGTGAGATTAGCTTTCCTCTCACCTTGGAATAAGCTACAGCTCTGCTCATTTTGTCATCTGAGTTCACACAGACAGTGAATTTACATTAAGCAACAGCAAAATGGTTTTAAGTTGAAGGAGGGAAGATTTGGGCTGGGTGTCAAGGGGAAGTTCTTTCCTATGAGAGTGGTGAGGTGCTGGAACAGCTGCCCAGAGAGGCTGTGGATGCCCTGTCCACCCCTGGAGATGTTCAAGGCCAGATTGGATGGGGCCCTGGGCAGCCTGGGCTGGTATTAAACGTGGAGGTTGGTGGCCCTGCCTGTGGCTGGGGGTTGGAGATTCGTGATCCTTGAAGTCCCTTCCAACAACAAACCATTCTGTGATTCTAAAAAAAAAAAAAAAATACGGGCTGTAAGGAACAGAATGTTCAAAGGTGACTATTGCTGGTATGAGAAGGTGGAACTCTTGCCTTAGTAACTCTTAGTTGTGTTAGTCTTATAGGAGGAGCACAAGTATAAACTACAGGATGAGTGTTCTTAAAGGAAGCTCTCATTCATGTATGTAAATGGGTCAGCTGGGGCACAGATGTTTGAGCAGAGGTGATTGAATTGCACAGGAACACAATCCCCAGCCTCGTTTGTCAAAACAGTGCCAGATGTGAATCAGGAATTGACCCTAGAGGTACAGTTACTAGGATGTTGTGTTGCTGCTGTGCTGTGTGAAGGGATGATGGCCACTGTGTTTTTAATTCTGGAATTCCTTTTATGGCAACTTCTACTGTAAATGCTGTGGTCCTTTTCCCTTTCTGTACATGTGAAATCCAGGCTGTCGTAAGAAAATCTTTGGTTTTGTTGGCCAGGGAAGCTTTTTGGTTAATTCCTGGGTCAGAGAACAAGAGAAAATAAAGTGTTATTCATTTAGTAGTCAAATAAGTTTCCTCTTTCACCTCTTTGCAACAGGATGAGGCAACAAGAGAGTTAAATCCACGCGAATGAAAATGAAAGCGATGCACACCTGACTGGGGGCTGTCCTTATCCAGCCACAGGCAGAAGGCAAGCCAAGAAGAGAGGAAAGGACGTGGCAACAAGAGAGTTAAATCCACGCCTTCCAGTTAAGAAATCTGCAGACACTTGCTCTGAAGCTCTGATGCTCTCCCCATGCCATGGTGCCCACCGCGTTCTCCAGGCGCCGCTCTGGGCTCGGCAGTTCTCAGCCGCTGCCTCCTTTATTACCGCGCTGCAGACGCCCCACGGCCTCGTGTGATGCTTCCCACCTGCTGCACGCAATGGTTCAGCACTGAAGCACACAGCAACACCAATGAGATCCTTCCTAGACTCGTAACTCCCAGCAGGACGGGTTTCCTCTTACGGCTGCAGGATTGTTTCCGTGCTGTAAGCGGCGCAGCTGAAGGAGAGGCAATGAATGGCGGTGCTGTGAAATCCACTCCACTTGTCTGTTAGCTTGCTGTCTCCGTTTCCTCGTCGCAGGTAAACTGGGATCTTCAGAGCTTACCACAGAGGTATTTAGAGACTGCAAATGGGGACACGTTAAATCAGCCACACCTGTGCTTCTTTTGGGTTATTTGATTGTTTCCTGCAGCTTGGGGAGCATCTTCCCACCACACAGAACCCTCAGCAGTGGTCTGGATGAGCTTAAGCTTTCTTTACAGCCTTCTCTACATATATGGGGCAGTGATTTCCACCTATCCAGCCATGAGGTCCCTGCAGCAAACAGAAGCATTGTGGGAGGATGCATTTGTTCATGGCTTGTTCTGGGTCACTTGTCTGTCTTGTCTCTACCAGTGTGCCATCCTGGAATTACCTGCACTACGTGACTGCAGAAATGCCTACTGTAGCACTGGTCATGCTACTCCGAGTATTTTCGGAGAGGTTTTGGCTGTGCCATTGTGCCTTGAATACAGCCCTGGCCCAGAACAAGGGTTTTAGGCACAGTGCCATCACAAAATGAGCATCTTCTGAGATGCAGTGGCTACACAGTACAAAGCCGTGTACTGGAGCTGCAGCCAAGTCATCGTTTGCCCTCCTCTGGTCCTCTGAAGTCCAACACCACCAGTTTCAGAGGGCCACAGCAGGGAACATCTCCCTCTATAAATCCAATGGAAGATGACACCTGTGAACTCAGCTGAGCTGTGTGCCTGGTGAGTGGCAGAAGAAGACACCCACAGTCATTGACTTCCTGCCAGCGGTGTCCTTCAGTGGGGAAAAGCTGATGGTTCACACACTATGCTGAAGGGACACCTGTTGGTTTTCTTCCCTGCTGTCTATCGGGGTGCATCGGGATTTCCTCCAAGTGCAGCAACAGCAGCTCACAGAGAGCCAATGGGAAGGTGGTGGTTGGGATCTGCTTCTTCAACAAGGAGTGTTGTGGTTTGTTCTTTGTTTTCTTTGTTAACATCCTCAAAAGGGCAACCAAGAGCTAGGAGTTGTATTTTGTTCTGCTGAAGTAAATGCATTTATGCTCTGTGACTCAAATTCTGCTGACTGCTTAAATGGCTTTATGTTCTAATTAGTCAAATGTAACGAATGGGTTGTTGAATATGCAGCTTATCCTTCTGCTCGGACTTATTCCTGCTTTTCTGCAGTACGTGGCAAACCTTACAAATAATTCTGTAACTCTCCAACATCAAATTGCTACAGACAAACGTTGCTGTGCAGCCTTTTGGTGTGTAAGCTTGGGCAGGACCTGTTTAAAGGCAAAACTGCTCTGACTTCCTCTGCATCTGTCAAAACCTGAGCTCCACATTGCACAAGTTGCAAGCATGGGGAGAAACACAGAGCACAGTGCTGTGCTCTGGTTCAGCTAAAAGTGATTCACAGTTTGCGAGTCACACTGACTGCTGTGAAGCTCGAGTGATATTTCAGCATTAAAACCCCTCCCACTCACCACCACCAAAAAAAAAACCACCACGCTCTTTTGCTATACACAACCCTCAGCCCCCAACGCCCCAGCTATGCCGTCCCCTCGCACAGCCCGCACTGGGCTGCCGGCCCAGCACCCGCAGCTGCCCTGTCGGGGCCGCGGCTGCAGGCGGGGCGGTGCGGGGCTGCCGGGGAGGCGGCTGCAGCACGAGTGCCTTCCTGTGAGCAGAAGGCTCGGCTTCTTCTCTGCGATGCTCTGCTGGCAGGACGGGTCTTTGCAGAGCTGCTGCTCTTCTGCCGGCGCTGGAGCAGCATCAGGTGTTGATCTTCACTGCACTGGAGAGTGGTGTCCCAGGACTCAGTGGCTTGTCTGAAATGGCGATTTTTTTTTTTAGTAACTGTCTGTATCGCAGTCTATAAATTAACTATCTCGCAGTCACCTGTCCTTCTATCCACTATCTCCCTATCAGCTGTCTGCCTGTGATCTACCTACACCACTAGTAACTCTTGCTTGCCACGAAGTACCTTGCTATCCACAACCCACCTCTCTATTAAAGATCCATTTTGCTATCTCTTCACTACCTGTATCACCACCAGCTATCTATCTTGCTATCAACTATCTACGTCACCGCTAACTATCTTGCTACCTACTATCTATACAACGACTATCTCCCCATCCTCTAATTCCTCATCTACTTCTATCGGCCCCCGATGCCCCCTGGGCCGCTCTCCCCCCGTCCCTCACACAGCCCCCTCTGGGCTGCCGGCCCGCATTCGGCAGGCGGGGCAGCCGGGGGCCGCCGAGGAAGCTGGGGGCCGCAGCCAGCACCGGCACCGCCAGCACGGGCACCGCCTGCCAGGGCCGGGAAGGGCAGGCGGGGCAGCACGGGGCGGAAGGACGGCACGCGGCGGCGGCGGGCACGGCGCGAGGTCGGGGGCCGCGGGTGGCACGGCGAGAGCACCGCGCGGACGGGCGCGATGCGGGCGGTGCGGGGCGGCAGCAGGCGGGGCGCCGGGAGCCGCTACCTGTCACCGCCTGCGGGGCGGCGGCGGCCGCTCGTTGCGGCGGACGGGGCTCTGCTCTGCAACCCGGTTCTTTTTCGGGCACCGCCGCCGGAGTCGGCGGGACGGGAGAAGAGGAGCTGCAACAAACGCGGAGAGCGGAGTCGGACGGCACCGGGTCGAGGGGGAGAACAAGAAGGAAAAGCGGGACCGCGCATCGCGGCACAGGGAGCCCTCGACTCCTCCGCTGTCCGGGCTCCTTTCCCTGCTCGCTCCCCACTGCCAGGAGAACCTGGCGCAGGTCCGCCTACAGACACGGCCGTACCTCGCCGTGAGCGGAAGGCGCGTCCTCTTCGCCCCGACGCTCGCCGCCCAGCTCGGGGCTTACCGGAGCTCGGAGCTCCGCCGGGGGCTCCCCGCGCTCCCGCGACGTTTGCCGGGCACGGCGAAGGGCCAACCGTACCGTGGGGCGCATCAGGCCCGGCACTGCCCAGGAAAGGACTGTCCCGCTCTGCTCTGCCGCACCGCTGCAGCCCGTGAGATGTCCGACGCCGCTTCCTGCAGTGGCCGTGTTCTTCTTGGGATCTGTGCCCAGCGCTGCCCACAGCCTGCCTTGCTGCGCTGTGAGAAGGCAAGTCCCAGCCTGGGCTCAGGTGGCTGCAGGCCCTCGTTGCTCTCGGTTCCCGAGGCTTCCAAGGTAACGCTTTGGCATCCCCCGCTTCGCCAGGTGCCGCTCCCTGCATCCCCTTGTCTTGTTGATGCACTGCTGCTCTGGCAGTCCCTGTGCCTTCCCTGAGTGGCACCTTGTGGAACACAGAAATGACACACATGGGTTTGGTACTCACTTCTGAAAACATGTCCAAAACCCCTTTGTAGGGGTCCGAGGTGGCTCTGTCCTATCAGAGCTGGGAGGATCTGTCTGGAGAGACAGCAACCCCTCCTGCAGCTGGAAGAAGCTGCCAAGCTGCCAGAGTCCACCTTTTCCTCCAGAACAGATCTGTTTGTCTCAGCTGTAGCTGCTGAAATGCACAGTGCAGAGCTATGTGGGTACATGCACATGTGTGGAGACAGGGACTTTCTGACATTAATGAATAAATAATTGGCACTGCTTTCACAGGAGAGGTGATTGAAGCCTGACAAAGTTAGATAATGTGGAGAAAGTAAATGATAAAAAGATCTTTGTTTAATGGTGAAAACGACATGCTTAAAATTTGCCTGTTAATTTAATTTCACTGCAAATTCCCTGTGAAATGTTAGGTCTCAGGGGGTCATTCATCTCATTTGTCAAATCTTCAGTGGTTTCATTGAAAGTAATTTAAACTTGTGGAGAATTTAAGTCAAATTGTAAGCGTACATTATCTCCCCACAGCTTTACTCTGTCTTGACCCTGCTGGCTAACCCTGGCTGCTGCTCATCAAGTACTGAGCAGCTGTAAATGTCATTGCATTCACTGCACATCCCCATGAAAGATAATAAAGGCTGGGCTTCCCAGGCAGGCCAAGCAAACAAGAGGAGCTGAAGGAAAAAAGTCTGAAGTTAACTGACGCTTTTCCTTTGTGATTGTGTCATCCAGTCAGACTGGGATGTGTGGTACCAGCCCAGTTAGGAGTTCTCTGATGCTGCTGCCTTTGGAGCTTGTAAGAAAAAGGATAGGGTAGAGAATTGAATCATACAAGCATACCTAGTTTTTACAAGTACTGAAAAGTATTCAACAGCCCCAGTTTGAGAGTGGTTCAGAATGAGAGGCACAATGATGATGGAGTTGAGAAGACCACAGGTGCCTTAACAGCACTCTTGTGAGAAGCCTTCTTTGTAAGGCTGCCTCTGTCCTGCTCTCCTTAATGCATTGGAAGTCAATGCACGTGTAAGAAGGTATTGTTACTTAACACTATTTCTAAACACTTGGCTGACAATCACTCGGGTGTAGGTGGAATCCTCATTTTAATTTTAAAGAGCACTGTGCACATGTTCTCTGCACACAGGTGAATCATAGAACTCATTTCAGGAAGGCAGAGGCCTAAGAAAGGTCACCAATGGTCTTTGGCATTTCTGAATATAAATCACAGTTTGTGTGGATTTATCCCTTTAGAGGTAAGTTTTACTGGAATGGTTAGAATCCACACCATGAGTTTGATGGTCGTGCATGAGCTCAAATGTGTTCGGTACAATTAATGTCAGCTGAAGTTAATTTATTACATGCATTATTTCAAATGAACTCTGGTGTTTTTTTGGTCTAACTTCACCAGTATGAGTGTGAGGAGCGTTGGTCAGCCTGGTGCATGGCAGTATTGAGGAGAACTGCCATCCCCACTTAGTGTCTGTGGAGTAGAAATCCATTTTAGCAGACCTGGAGAAGAAGCTAGCAGTAGTGCTGTGACAATTTCAATTAAAGGTCTGTGAATGGTAATTATGTTTCCATACCAGCAGTCTGATTAAATGTAAACTAATTATGCAAAAAGCTTAAACTGCGACCTGAGTTACTCTTGCTCAACTCACTCACGGTTGAGTTTCAGCAGTTTTTGGATAACATGTTATCACTGCAGGAAGTTTCCTTGTTGTTTTCTTCGTTTGCTTGTTTTTTGTAGGCTGTGGGATGTTAATGATATTTGATGATATTACTGAAACAGTGTGGTCTTCCCTTCCCTCTTTCCCTGCTTCTGTCATCCAGCCTCAAGCATAACCATATGGGAATCCTGAACACTTACTGGGTGCGGTTTGAGAGCTGCTGGTTTGAAGCATTAATACACAACAAAATCACAGGACATGGAGGTAGTTCACGTAGAAAGAGACCTTAGTTGATAACTTTTAACACTCTCTGCACAAAGCAGCGCTAACTTCAGTGTTGCGCCAGCCCTAAAAGTCTTGCACTGATGTACAAAGAGATGTGCTTTGTCACACCAATGTTTCAGCTAGGGAACAAAGCCCACTGCATTTGAATGAAAGAAGAACTGCATCCAAGTTTTGTCAGTGCATGTTTCCTTTTGATGCAATGTAATTCAGTCATCAGAGCCTGAATCGCAAGCCTTGGTGCTGCATCCTGTCATCCTTTTGTGGGATTTCAATATCAAAATACATAGGAAAACTGAGATATTCATCAGTTAACATTATTTCACCACCTCAGGTTTGCAACTTTCATGTCTATTTTAATGATTGTTTAAAAATATGGACGAGTGCAGCAAGAAAAGAACTGTTAATTGAATTAGAACTGACCAGTGTTGTAACATTGTGAAGAGGTTATAGCTCATAATTTTGAAGAAGTGTTTTTCTTTACACTTAAAGAATGGCAATGCCTGCAGTTCTAAAAAGGTGACATTTGAAGTGAGCCCTGGGTTGGTCTCAGAACAAGTCTGCCTTTTCTCACTCCTGATCCGAAAGGAGCAGAGCTCTAATTCACTGCAGCAGCTCTTGCTGGTCTGCCAAGTGACTTTGACTGGAGCTGCTCCAACGGGCTGCTTGCTTCCATGTGCTGTAGGCCACAGACAATTCCCATAACAGAAGCATCGCAGCAAAGTGTGTTTTCCATGTTCCTGTGGGAGTTTGTTTCCGTTTCTCTTTATTGCCCACTTGGAAGAGAAGACTGGCAGAAACATTTTGCAGAGATTAAA